GACAAGTGAGAGTATAAAGCTAAGAAGGAACTGTACACAAAGCAAGCGCAGCAGCAGCTAGCCTTCATGCATTCTGTGTAGCAGTCTGCTCAAAGAGCAATCTGCATAGCAAAGATTACAGAGCATTAATCCTGTTCTTTTAAAAGCATATTTAGTGTTTGTACACAATGCTCCATTTACACTGCAAATGCATATTCTGTACCTGCAGAACTTGAAATGGTTTTGTTGACCCCAAAGAAAGCCAGCTGCAGACAGGGACTCAGTGCTGACATACTGCTCACCAAAGAATAAGCCATGCTGAGGTTTACTGCAATTCAACATAAGCAAAACAAAAACAGTGAAATGTTGCTGCCTTTTGAAGGGCATCATAGAAATCTATCTTTTCAACTGCTGAAATGAAAATAAATGCTTTCTCTCACATCAGTATACAGTAACAACCTGTATTATGCATTTCTACTTAAAAGCTTCTTAAGCTTTGAAATGATGTATTTAAGCTAATTGCTTTATGTGCTTAAAGAAAGGCTAGTAAAAATGGCATCCTCTCCTTATCTTTCTTGCTTTATAATAGTTAATATATCTTCTTTCATGATTGCCTAAAATGAGTTCATCTACTTCAAAATGTAACAACTGAAATATGCGTTCACCTCTTGTCATTCCTCTTCTAGACCCCCCCCCCCGTGTGAACTATAAAATTATGCTCTGAAGCCACTAAAAGTCGTCTAACATCTGTGAAATGATGCATTTTGTTTTTAATGCATACACTCAGCTGCAGATCTGACTTTGAAGTACTTAATTCTGAAAGATCAAAAATAATCCTATGGCCCTGAGAACAAGCACTGAAGCATCCAGGACTACGTCTTTCTTAGGAAAAGAGCAGTGTCAGGAATGGGTCAAAAACACCTCTTCATTTTCAGCTCTACTTTCTTACCAGTTTTTCTTGTCCCTTCTCTCCCCTAAGCATCTTTGCTCCACTCTTTCCCACTGCACTCTTGTACCTGGAAAAGAACTCAAGAGAGAATAAGAGCGTTTTAAGGTGAAAGCAGCAGATGAATTAATGGGATGCAAATAGGAAAACCAGGCACAGAGCTGTAACCTAAGACAAACAAATCTGGTAAGAAGGCTATTTTGTAAGCTGCAGAGACGTGTGTGTTTGTGCTACCAATTCTATTGCCTCATTTCTACTCCCACTCTCAGTTACTGATGTCTTCTGGAACAAGCCACACGTGCCCTTTTCTAGCATCACTGCACTGTTTTACAGCTCACAACACAGAAAGCAAAGCGATGTGGAAAAGTTAGGGAGAGGATGCTGATTTGCTTTGACCCCACTTCTTCCAGGCTTTCCTCTGGCATCCTATGTGAACAGATTATCTGAGACATTGCAGTGTCCCCAGTACATCCTCAAAAAGAGGACTGGAAAAAAGTAAGGCCTCCTTCATGCAGTGCAGCTCTGTTTTCAGAAAGCATTTATTGTCCCAGGCACTGAAACCACTCGCTGCCAATTACCACCATCTTGCTGTGCCTGCTGGACACCTGTGGCTGATCTCAGAGACAGTAAGAAAAGATGGGCAATCTCACTGCTCTGAATGAGGGCATAAGCATTCAGGCCATAACCCTGCTTGTCTGATGTGCTCTTAAGCACTGGTGATTTCCTTAACTAGGTCTCACAAAGAAATTAAAAACAATGTCTGATGGTTAATAGGGACAGCAACTTTGCCCACAGATTGGCTGAATCCATTCAGAGCCCACACAGCATCCCTCCCGTGGTGTCACACTCCCACACAGACATGCACCTTCGTTTTTTTTCCCCTAGTGCTTTTTAATAAAAGAAGTACTGTTGCCAGCCAATTCCTTGACTCTGCCAAGCAACCCAAGAATGATCCCAGCCATTAAGTTCTTAGAGCCATTTACGATCACAATAGCAACTTGACCATTTATTACACCAAAAATAAAAACAAAAAATTCTAAGGTATTTCAAAATCTGGTGAGCCATTCAAAGTCGTTTGACTTTATTTTCTTCTAATAAACATATAAATCAAAAACAGTTCTGCAGGGCAAGATGCTAAATGCTAGTTATTGATGAAGGCGCTCCTAGAATATTTCACTAATGGCTCTGGCTTGATGAATACATGTAAAAAGAAAGATCTTATCGATTTTACTTAAAAACATTTTAAAAGTGCTCAGCAGGCTGGCAGCAGAAAAATAATATGAAGCACACAGAAAAACTAGCATTTAAAGCAGGAAGAAAGAGACCCAGCCCAGCAGGGACATTAGGAGGAGATAAATGACAAAGCCATTGTCACATCATTGAAGCAGCAACAGCACTGGCAGCAGAGACAAGACCAGACTAAAGGATCGTAATGCCATGGATTAAAGATCACGAATCCAAACTCAAGAGGGAAAACATTTATGTCAAAATGAGGATATATATATATATATTTTATATATATATATATTTTATATATATATATATATATATTTTTTTTTTTTTTGAAACAGGATTTTCTCCATGAACAATGCTCATTAAAATGACACAAATCCTCAAGTCTGCATCACTGAAGTACTTCAGTAGTAAATCACAGAGACATGGATATTTTATGGCCAGAACAGCATATGATTCCTAACTAACCTTTGTACATAAAGTACTCTCAGCTGGGCATTTGGTACTAAACCAACTTTCCTACTGGTCTCAGAAAAACCTGTATCTGCACTTTTCCTCTCACTTTAAATAGCCCTTAATCTTCAGACATCAGGATCGTCAGTAAACAAGATCCATGACTTCCTTCTGGGAAAGCTCAAGTCTTCCCATGGATCGCAGTTCCTAAGGCTGATATCTCAGGGACGTGCATCTTAATAAGGAGTTAAAATGGGAGAATATTTCCCTAGGTTCCCATGGGAACACAACACTTTCAGATCTGGAAAGTTTCAAGATATGGGGTTATACACTCATTAAAACACATCTTTAAAAAAAAAGCTATTTGTTTAATTTTCAGTGGCCTCCTGGCTGCTATTCATTGGGCCTAATCACTCGAAAGTCACTAAAGGATGGAGTTACTCAGGAAAGAGCACACTTGTGAGGTTGAGCACCCAGGAAAGATAATAGGAAGAATCTCAACTGTTTAGGGCCAGAACAGGCGTGATACTCACCTGTGGTCACAAAATAAGCTGTTACTACATTACTTGCTCATTGTTTTATGCCACTGTCTAAAGACAGCTATCTTACATCTGACGTCACACTGCATGCTATCTGGCCAGCCAAGCATAACCTCTAGTCAAGCTGTAAGTGAAATAGCTTCCATAGTATAACAGAATTCACCTGGAAACAAACTGTTTATTAATTCGATACAAAGCTCTAAGCACTTGTTTCTTGAAAACAATTTTTCTTCTCTGTTTCTACCCAAAGTACCAAAAAGAATCCCTAGAAGAAACACCCAGAATCGTCCTGCTGTCTTAGTACAACTCTTCTTCCATTTCTTATACACAGATTTTTTTTTAATAACAGTTACTTCACCTGCATTCTACATTAAGCGTGGTGCTGCTTTGGTGCTCTAATATTGTGATGTGCGTGCAGCATTTGCAAAGCTTCCCTTAAGTTCTTTATAAGAATACATAAAAGAAGAAAACTGTTTACTGAGCAACAGAAGATAAGCTCTATCCTCCTCCAAAAACAATCAAAAGAGGGCTTCATTAATCTTGCAGAGACTTGAGTTCCTTATTTTATAGCAAGCAAATAAAAACTACAGTTGTCTCGAAAGCTATCTTGCAATAAAAACTTCAGAATATTTACTTCTTTTCTGAAGTTGAAAGCAAAGTTTGAACTTCATTTCACATAATACCAGTACAAAGAGAAAGCTGCACTATGTAAGGTGCAGAGATAGAAAATCCACACACTGTATTTTACAACTGGGACTAAAATGTCATTTCTTTCATACAAGGGAGGTAATTAGCTTTCGAGACAATTTACCACAGAAAGCAGCAAGGTGAGTAACAGAGTCATTAAATCAAAGTTTCACATCTGTGAAAGATACATCCACAAGATCTAACCTGTGTCACCTTCCCATCATTCAGTCACTACAGTAAGAGAACCGAGTAGCTGTATTCCAGAACCAAAAACTGACATTGATAGTGTAGGAGTTTTGCAAAGCCTCAGCAGACCACCTGGCCAGCAAACAGCATGGAACTGCAGCCACTCCACTCCTCGTTTGGCAATTCAGATACTCACACATCATAATGAACAAAAGGAATAGTTTTAACAAGAGGAAAGTAGATGTGCTAATAGATTGCTGAATGGGGACAAATATGAAAGTCCTGTTTGGACAGTCTGGTACACAGTCAGAAAGAATCCATGTGCTTTTCAGCACCAGCAGCCCTGACTCTTTGTCATTCTGCAAACCTCTAGAGAAGCAGCGCTGAGAAATTATCAGTGCAGTCAAATTCTGTTGAATATGCAAACTGTTGAACAGGCACTCAGTGCCCCAGCAAACTAAAATGGTTTCAGCAAAGACTCTCCATGTTGGACCCTGCTGCTGCCCACATGGCTTTGAGTTCCACTGCAGAATTCAACTCCCAAAGCTCTACAAAAGGCAAAGCAGTTGACTAGACTTGAAATGACAGATCATCAACAGATATCATTAGGATGTCACACCAGAATAGGATATGTACACCTGTAATGATGAATTCACCTTCCAGAGCACTAGTTACATAACAATTACCTTTACAGACCCTTTGAATTTATAAACTATTCACTTACAATGCCATTTCAGACCTCACCTGAAACACAAGCACTTAGGTTTAATGCATTCTGGATAACATTTGACTGAAAGAACAATCTGCATAGCAAAAACTACAGTAAAGTGGGCATTTTCCAAAATGGATTTCAAGAAAAAAAATTGCCACTCTGTATTCATATAGCCTTGCAGCTATGAAAGTCCTGTCACTATGGCACTTCAGTGTTTGGAAGCATCTGTCAAGGAAAAAAAGGATTTTTCTCTGGAACACATTCAGTAAATCCTAAGGTTTGTAATTTTTTATTGAAAAATTAGTAACAACAGCTGTAGGGCAGCCTATCAGTTCTTTAAAAGTTTATGCAGACTTGATGTCAGCGGCAGAAAAATTTACAGTATGTAATGAGAGAAATAAACAGATCATGGAGCAGCAGGCACTGGATGCTTTCAGTGCATCTTCTATAGCCCCAGAAAACAAAAGAACCATTTGTCTTGGACTGCATTTTGTCACCCTCCCAACACAGACCTGTAAATTTATACAAAAGGCAAGACAATCCCAATCCAATCTAAAAACGTCTCAATCATTCAGCCTTTTTCGTTGACCCAACTTATCACTTATCTTCACGGCTCACAGCAGTTTCTCCAGGAAGCTCTGTCTTAAATTTTTTATGAGATTGCTCTCCTGGGAAAAGAGACATGCAATGCTCTAAGGATCGTGCAATTTCATCAATTGTCCATCTGTCTTCATGAAGCGCGTGCTCCTCCAGCGTAAAGGGTCCATGTTTGGTTCGGGTCAGCTCCTGTATGCTGGCACAGGTTGAAAGTTCTACAGTACAGGAGAAACAAGAATTTACAAGAAATACACGGTCAGATTTAACTCTTTTTAACACTTACTTTGCTATACGTAGCCTGCATTGCTCTGCTTACTTTGAAATGAACATTCATCACTCATTTACATCTTCGTAAGTCTGAGGAATTCCTTTGATTTCAGTAGACCTTCAGTGCAGTAAGAGTTCAAAATCTGACAAAGTTGTCAGAAAGTTTTCCAGATTTAAATCAGAAAGAAAAATAATGACATAAAATAAATGCAGAGGACCATGTGCTGATCTTCCTTGTACTTAGAGGCCTTAGCATTTTTGCCTTCAAGAAGAATTCTGGGATTCTTATCCCTGTGACGCTCTCCAACATAATATAAACTAAGATATGGAAACATTTGAAATTTAAACAGATCTTCTGATGGGTTAAATACACATAGGACATAATTACATAAAGAGAAGTAACCAAAGATAAGAGCAACTGGAGCTGACTCCTCAGTATAAAGGTGTACTAAAATATTCCTGTCCACCCTGTCAGAGGGCAGAAGGATTTTTCCTGCATTTCATAGTTTGAAAAAGAGCCAGCTGGGAAGAGATTTTTATCTTGGTGTGTTTTTTAAGTGACTAAACTCAATCCACTGTACACAGGAGGCTATAGCAGGAGAATCTTTGACTTGCCTAAGCACGAGCAATAACATTGAAATTCACAGGATACTCTTACATCGCTTGTTTTTTTTGGTCTGCAAATGTATCACTTAATAAAAAAATACTGAAATAGACTATCTGTTCTCCATCATACAGCTTGATAAATATAGGATGCAAGACAAATAATCCTGTGGGAAAGCAACATCATTCGCAGTACAAGGGAAGGAAAAAGAAAACACTGGAGAAATAATCACAAGTGAAGAAGACTTTCCAGCAGACAGGGCTTATTATGTGCATGGTAATGTTCTGTGCAATCTGTTTTCAAAATGTGATGAATAACGTTTAAGAAGGCAGAATCTTTCTTCTGCTTCTTCTCACCCTTAATCTGAGTTAGCTTTAACATATGGAAGAGAGGGGAAAAAAAAATTCCCACCTTGCCTTGCATTTTCTTTCTCAGTGCTATTCCTCACTCCATTTTTATCCCCACAGCCCCCAGAGCTCTTGAGCAACTATTTAGGCTTCATTCCTTCATGCTCCTAATGAACATACTCTACTCTAGTACTTAAAAGCAAGTGATAGCAACACAAAGCTGCAAAACTGTACCTGAGTTTGGTGGCTGGACACCAAAAAAAAAAAAAAAAGGCAGGAGTTTTCTATAAGCAGACACGTTACTTCTGAAAGCCACCACTTTCTTTATCTCCTCATACCCACCTTTGCCAATGTCACTGACCAGGCTCCTGACATAAAAGCCGCCGCCACATTCGACATCTGGAACATTAATGGTGACATGGTAAATTGCCAGCAGAATGTGAAATCCGCTTCACATAGAGACCGTGCTCCCAAACAAATGTAAAAATGCACTGAGCAAACAACCCAATGATAAAATATTTATAGGATGCAACATCAATTATTCATCCTGTAACATATGTGCGGGTGAGATTGCTAAGCCAGACAGGAGGGAAGGCAACTACAATGGCAACTGAACTAACCTGCTAGAAATTAAGTACTTGCTATGGTATGTTAAAAATGCTTCAGTTCTATTCATTTCTAAGGTTTCAGAAGGTCATTTCATATTTCTAATAATGAAACCAAGTTATTTCAGGAATAACCTAAAATAGCTATCAATGCTTTTAAGATACTGCACTTGGGCAGCTCCAATGAAAGCTGCTGACATTTCAAAATTCCCCTTTAACTTCCCCTGCTGCTAGTGATCAGCATCTGGTCACCCAAATAGAAAGTAAGGCCTGAAGTAACACAGCACTGAGATCTGTCACTCAAATCAGCTCATCATATACAATCTGGTCCAATTGCGGGTCAATCAGGTAGTACCTCAATGCAAACGATTATCCAGACCTCAGAGTAGCATAAAACATATACAACAGGATCTTTGATTTATTAATGTGCTTCTTAATGTATGACAGAAGAAAGGGTAAGATCCCGCCAATGCAAACTAGAAAAAGCCCTGACAATAGCTGATACTGGACTGTCAATTGCTCTGGGCATCAAGGCAAAAGAATGGATCAGGTGAAGTAAGCAGACCTGAGAAAGGAGGAGTGAGCTGGAGGTTGCAAAATCATGGACAGATGCAAATAATCTGCTGACCAGCCTCTCAGAATTTTCCCTCACAGAAAGATTACAAATAATCAGCTTAACTTAAAACCAAAATATGGTGCTTTTACTGCAAAGGGAAAGTCTTTGCACACAGGCTCACACTGAAATAAGTAGATGAGGGAAACGAAACCCATTTCAATATCTTACTGCCATTCTGAGCATAAATAAGCACTAACAAACAAGCTGGTAGCATCACCCTACGTAATAATCTTTGGCCTTTACCCAGTGTGAACAGTGGTGGCTGGAACTGTTGGAGAGAGAGGCTGTACACTCTTACTGGCCGAGCAGGCTTTGCTTCTACTGCTTCTCCTCTCTTCATTAGAGTTGATAGCCTTTCTCCACCCTTCTTCAAAGCAGAATAGCTGATCAAATGGAGCACGAAAAACACGTCACCCGGTTATAAAAGAACAAGCTTCCCCTCCTGTTAAGATTGTACCACAACAGCATACACTCACTCTTCTAATCCTTTCTACACAAAAACATAAAACCTAGCAAGTACTTCTGAAATCTCTTGGACACAAAATAATCTCATTCACCAGTGGTTATGTACCCTGGAAAACAAGAGATAGCCCTCAAATTACCTCTTGTTGCTTAGATTTGAGTGTTTCATCACTCAGCTTGCAGTTTATGAAAGCAAAGAGTTGCTCTAAGAAGTACAATGCTTGCAGCTGCCTCTAGCATTTTGTCACCCAGAAGTCTACAGGACATGCTGCTTCAGTGCTGTGTTAGAGTGAGCACTGGGTTTTGCTCAGGCAACACCTGTAATTCTGCCTTTCAACTTTACTCAGATCAGGGTCTTCCTTAAACAGCATCTGTCAGGTTATGTAGCCTTGTTTCGGGGTGTTCAGGACAAAAGCTTAATCCACTAATTTCACTCATAATGTTAAATTTTATCTAAAGATCCCACTTTGGCCCTGACAGAAAGACAGCTAAAACAACAATCAAAAATGATCTTGATCAAATTATTGGAAGGTAATTTGAAAAGGTCACACAAACAGAACACCTACTGAATTACTGACCTTACAAGGCTCACAGTGGAGCCACAGTAACCAAGCCAATGCAAATGCAGAGGAAAGCACATTAGTTTAAATCACCATGAAAGCCATCTGTCACAAGCTAAGCACTTGCATACTGCCAGTTACCATGGCTCACCTGACTAGACGAAAATTGTAAAGCTAAGGAAGTTTAAATCACTAACAATTTATTCCTACTCTAAGTATTCAGAAAAGTAATTTGAAGACATTTAAAGAACTTCCAAGCTGATGTTAGTAAGCCTCTCCCTACTCTGTAGCTGAAATTAAATTCTTGAGGCTTTCTCTTCTAAATGGAAGACAGGACAGAATCCCCCCTAGTCCTGTAAGACCTGCTTAAGACTGCTACTTTACTTTAATCAACAAAACAGACTCCAGGTTGTCATTTGAGCTGGATGTTCAAAGCAGCATGACCCACAGTTGCAAACGTTAAACTTTTAAGTCTACAATGTCTCTACCTTCTTACCAGAACATCTCTACTTCTGCCATAACCAAGTCCTGTTGGCAAGTCCCAACAGCTGAGAGTTCAGAATGTTGTGGAACTTACAGTGGAGGAACCTGCATTATGTCCCCTGTGAACTTCTGCAGCACATTCTCAAGATCTCTTTTTGTTACTTGGTCTGTCAAAAGAAAAAAAAAAGTGTTAAGAATGGTTATTCACATTGCACTAATGGCACCAATCATGTTGTACAAACAGATAAAAAGTGGTACCCCTTGTCTGAATTTAGATTGGATGAACAATGCCAAAGAAAGATAAACAGAATGTAGGTAGGAGTGTGAATTAGCACGACAAGATGGAACAAACAGTCCAGGCTGATTAAGACAGTCTGGACACATTCAGAAGGGCAGAAATCCCTACATACATAGTTCTGCTATGCAATTTCTCTCTATCAGGACTAACAATTAATTTTTCTTGGGAACTACACAAAAATTACAAATCTTGTGCTATTCTAACCCTTGCTAAGGGTCTGAGAAGAACAAAATGCTCATCTGGCCTTGGCAACTTCTCTTTAAGGGTGCCTAAGCACAAGGAAAAAATACAACAGGTTACTTGAGAACAAAAGCATTGCACTTTTTTTTTTCCCCAGCAAAGCAAAAGATTTCATCTGGAACAACACATTAAATTCCTCTATCAAACATCTAACTCGTAGATGCTCACAAAGGTATTGTTACATATAATTAAGTCAGCTGCACTGAAGATATCCTGTAAGAGAAAGCAAGGACTTTTAGAAATTTGCTCTCTCAGTGGTACACATACACACCTGCCCCACCTTTATGGGAAGGCTACAATTGAAGTAAAGGAGCTGGTTGCGTCGGTCCTCTGAAACGCTATTCAGTAGAGATGACATCAACCCCTAATTTGTTTAGAAAGTGTTTGTACTTTTGTACATTGCTTTTGGACATGAGATCTGTAATAAAAATGCACTTCAGTAAATATTTTGTCCTCTGCCTCCTAAGTTATATTTTATTAGTATCACCCTAAGCCAACAGCACCCTAGCATATAAATGAAATTAACTTGCTCTGGAGGAGAGCTGCACTTGCAGCCCTTACAAAACTGATGCCTTTCATGCTGAAAATGAGAAGGAAGAGGTTTCTTTCCCACAAATTTTTGAAGATGGCAATGCAGCACCTCCTTTCCACAATGCACATTTTGCAGCCTTGGGAGCACCTGCTGTCCCTAAGCAGCATCACCGTCTCCAGAAGTGTTTTGAACAGCAAGTCTGCAAGGCACACAGGTCAGCCAGAGATGCTGAGAGAGAGCAACACACAACAGAACGTGGAGCAGAAATGACAGAATTGCTTGCACATTAAGTCTGGATCTTCTTCTGAAGGGCCTCTTACACCATCAGTTCAGTCTGATTGCATTACTGAAGTTTAGCAATGTATCACAACAAAGACACAGAGAAAAGTTAGCTTGACTCAACTTGATGCCTGTCATCCTGTCAGCCTTCTTGCAAACTCCACACTGTTTTAGGCTAGACTTTAGTATTTAATGTCTAAGGAAAAAGAAATCCCCATGTGAGGAATGATGTATAAAGCCACTTAAAGAATGAATAGTTTCCACAGTTCCTAAGGTTTCTCTCCTGTGTGACTTCCCTTCTCCACTCTCTGAGAGGAAGGGGTGGAGAGAGGTTTCTCCAGTACTTACCTGGCACAGATCCCAATCATTCCTGCTACCAAGAATAAGCTCACCATCTCCACTACCCTGATTGCAAATGCCAAATATCCTTATCTGCCACATCCCAGAACACAAGATTTGATTGAAGCTGGATTGAAGTAGCAATCTGCCCTTCCAGAGGAGGTTAAAGGACTGTTGCCCTGATTCAGGACTAAGTTTGCCCCACAGGACAACTGCACCCCATCCCAAAGAGTAATGACAGCCCTAGCTTCAAACAAAACAACTACAGATGCTCTGTGTGAGCACTATTTGAAACACACTTAATTCATCCCTATTTTCTAAATTTCTTCCCAAATCTCTTACACCAACAGTGGGGCTACATGTGTCTGCACCAACTGTTTCTTCCACTGGAACATCCCCTTTGATTCTACCAGCACCCAAAACTCCTCCAATATCCTAAAAACATCCAGAATGCTTTGGCTCCTAAAATGAAAATTTTCAAGAACAGTGCTTTTGAGTGCTGATGACTGCAGAAATATTTTCCTGTTGTAAACACATAGAAAGCTGTAGAAGTTACCAAACCAAGAGGTGACACAGCCTCAAGAAGCCCCCACTGCAGGGCGATCTCGCCCTGTGCTTGCTAACAAACCCTACTGAAGAAGAACACAAGGCCAGAAGAATTAGCCACAACCATCCAAGGAAACTACAGCAGCTGGCCTCAGTTCAATCTGGCAGCAGCTAATTGCAAACAGACAAACAAAATGCTGAAAAGACAGCATTTTAAAGTTTGGGTAGCATAACCAGCAGAAACATGGAGAAAACCCTGAGGAGTTCTGTTCCCCAAATTTGGATATAGTCTGTGAGCAGCTGGGAGGAAGCAAGTTTCAGAATGAACATTCCTATTCCTGTTTGTAGTTACAGAAAGGCTACAAACGCTAGAGTTCCTCGGAAAGTATCAGAGAAACACTGAACCCTTTGCTGCTTCCAAAGTCAGCAACTGAGCCTGGGAGCAGCATGAAGCCTTAAGTAAATCTCATGTGATAATACAAGTTCTCTCTCTGCTAAAAAAGCAAACAAAAACTATCAGAAGTCCAGGAGAGATTAAGCCCAAGCAGTTCTCTCCTACACATTCTTCACTGTGATCAACTTAGCACACAACAGTTAGCTATCCAAAGTGCTGCCTAGAATCACCTTGAGGACTACAATCTGACAGTTTATCATGGGAGGCAACTTTCTTCAGGCACTTTATTCTTTGGGTCCAGTGGAGTCATTCCAGAGGAGGTAGACACATCCTGCAGGCTGTTTTACTGCCCTCTCCTGCTCCAGGTCCCAGCCCTGCATTCTGTTGGCACTGCAGAGTCTGCATTCCCTAGCAGATGCTCAGCATCTCCCAGGATCCATCTAGATGTCCAGAAATGCTGAAAACTGCCTCAAATGTCTTTTGTGTATGCTCCTGGAGTAGCAATTAAGATCAGGGGTGAGTGAGTCACCCAGAAAGCCAAGCTGCTTTGAGAAAGCACTGGAGAAATACCTGCTTTATTTGAAGGTAAGGAAGGAAGGAAAGATAAAATACACAGGTAGCACAGAGAAAAAGGACTATGCGTGTTCTTTAACCCTTCTTTAGGGAGAATTGGAATCTGATTTGAATAAGGAATGCAACAGACCAATTTCATAAGCATTCCATCCTGCAAAAGGAAGCCATGTCCCCCATCCAGTACTGAATTGCCCAGCCAGTGCCAACACTTCTTATGAACGCGCATTTTGAGCTTCTCTGTGGGATTGATAGCATTTTATTTTTTTAAATTGACAATGGGGGCTTCATCTACTTGAAAAGTTAATCCACAGTTTCTTTGCAAGCGTTCTACAATGAATACTCATTGCAGCAGAGCTACAGCATCCCACTTTGAGAGTTAGAAAATACCAGGGAAACATTTACCAGTCATCACCAAATGTTGGCAATTAGAAATTCTCAATACCAAGCTGGCATTCAGTTCTTTAGCAGCTCAGAAAGAAATTCAGCCCTGAGACAAAAGCAAATGATTCAACATCTCTAAATAGCACTGCCTAGCAAATAATGCAATTTGGATTGATTCATGGGGTTTAAGTTGGACAACAAAATCATGCTTGTATGCCTTGTGTAAAAAGAAGGACAACAGAAGAAAGGATATTGGGGTTGAGGAATGGAATACAAGCTACCTTTTCATCATGTTTATGTATTCCTTATGTATTCTATTCCTCAACCCTTAAACCCTTGCTCTGTGGGTCAGAAAATCTCATATATTAAAGTTGCTAGGACACAGACTGCAAGCAAGAGCAAGATTTGGTAGGTAAACATATGTAGAGGGAAGCTTATGCCATCCTGCCATCCTCACTTTATGTCACAAAGTCTGTAGTTAAACAGCCATACTGGAGGGAAGATGTGGGTACTTTATTCATCTACTGGCTGTGAAGGGCGTTACTAAAAGAGGACTCACGAGACTACATGCTGAAAGAGGAAAGTTTTACTGGACACAGCATGCCATTTGTCAGCCTTCTCAAGATTTAAAATGATACAGTCCTGCTCAATTCTATTTTCTCCCTCTTAATCTATTGCCGGTACTGTTTTCTTTCCCCTCAACAGAAATGAACACACACTGGACATAATTGCATGAAGCTGGACTAAATTAGATGAGCACTGAAGTTGAAGATGAAATAATTCTAGTTTCATTTCACATTTAAATTTAATTCACAGAGCCCCAAACATCTCTTCCACTCTTCTATGACATAGACCGCTTATGCCTTCAAATAACATCAAGCATATCAATTTGTTTGTCATTACCATAAGGCTTTTCTTCAGTTACTTTTCCTGTAGCATCTAATGTATCAGTAGCTCTGCCCAGTAGTCCAATGGCAGTGTACTTCTGGGAAAGAAAAAAAAACAATCAGATTTTCAACTTCTTCTTTGGTGGTTTGTTTGGTTTTTTTTTTTCTTTTTTTTCTTTTTTTTTTTTAAATGCCTGCAAAACAGTAAATACTTCAGATGAGGCCAGGAAGAATTATATCTTTGGCTAACCAAAAGTAAAGATAAGAGGGAACTCAAAAGAAATTAAACACTGCATTACGTAGGCCTATGACTTCAGTTTTAGAAAGCCAAGGAAGAAGCAAGTGATCTGATTTCTTCCTATGAATACATCATAGAGAAAGTTACAGCATGCTAAAATCCAAAGTCTCTGTAAGGTATCCTATGTCACTATTTAAGCAAGCCAAGAAGAGTACCTTTCACGCACAATTCTTCTGTTCTTTCACAATCTTGTTTGTTTCTATGGTACACAGAGAACTTTTCTACTAAAAGCAAAACAACACCACTTCCAAGGTTCCAAGTCACAGCATTACAACAGCTCAGCTGAAGATGTAGTGATACGCAATAGCCTAAAGCTAGAGGAGACCTGAACACCTGAACACGGTAAGGACATCGTGCCTAGCACACGGCGACTGAGGCCACTGACAGGCATCTGTTTGTCATCACTTCACACAATATTTCAATTTCAGGGATTTTTCTTAAGCCTAAATCTTTATCTTGAATGTGTATTTGTAACTTGCAAGCATTCAAACCTGTTCCCACGCCAGCAGCTCCAGTCCTCATTGCCACATTTTCCCCACAAGTACTGCCAGGCAGAACCTGAAGAAGCTGGCAGAAGAGCCAGCTGCCCCATGGCTTTCACAGGGCAGCTGAGCCACAAAGACTCACTCGCCCTATATCAAGCATTTCCATGGTCCAGGGGAAAATAAATAAACAAATCAAGGTGTTCCACCAGCCTAACTCCCAGGAAGGCTTCTAATAACTTACTACAGCTGAGCTAGTAACAATTTGAACTAAGTCACAAAAAAAGACACCTTTCAGAACCTGGTTGACCAAATTCTACTGGAACACATCCAGACAGGTAGAAGCACTAACATACCACAATTGGATGCAATTCACCCTTTTAAGTATCCTTGCAAAGAACCAACAAGTTCAAGTAGTAACAGTGATTCATATTCCTACACACCTACAGAATGGGACTACTAAGACACATCTTGATTTTGTTCTGTGTGACAACCTGCCACTTGAATGTATTTCTTTAAGCAACTGCCAGTAAATGGAAGCAGCAGAAATAGACGAGAGGCAGCGGACTGCAAACTTCACCATAAAAATAGCTGTAGCCTTAACACGGTAAGCAAAGTACACTTTTTTCTAAACACTAAGATGCCCAAATCACCAGAAAATTGCAAAATCAGGCATTCAGATATCTACCTGCAACTTGTCATGTTTACTTCTGGAAAGTATGGAAAAGAAAAAGTGGATGAAGGCTCGAAGGCCACTCCACAATAAACAACTTAACAGTACATCATCTGTTTTTAGGACCATAAAACTGCTTGCACTCTGAGACATTTAATGATCTAGTTCTTAACTTTAATAGCACAGTTAGAAAGAGACACCATTCAGCGGTTATTTCTAGAGGTTAATAAAAAATGTGAGAGGATCTTAACAATTATAGCACAATGAATGATCTGAGCAGTTCGGGGAAACTTAAAATCTGAAAACTTCATACCTCTTCTGATTAAACATCTCCAAATGGAAGTACTGATACTACTTCATTTTGAATGCACTTTTTCTTCCCAATTCTGTTTTAGGTCAGGCTGTCTGTTTTAATAATAAGCTTCACTTGACCTCCCAGTAGCGGGCAGATAATACAGTATGTCTATATGAGAACACAAACAGTATGAACCATACAATCCAAAGCTCAACACTTGACTTGCCCTTTGGTTTCTGCAAAAAAAAGACAGAAAGCCATCCTTAAATGCCATCCAAAAAAAATAAAAAGAAACCTTAAAATTAGTTACAGATTGTCATTTCTTAGAGCAGCCTTCAAAGAGTCACAAAACACTCAAGTCAAAAATACAATAATCCACTAAGAAGGGTAGAACAGGTCAGGAAATTAAGAATTACAGATGGTTTGCATATCAGTCTCTGGAGTGTCCTTGGACATCTACAATTATACATCATAATTCTTACTGACCACTTAATAGGGTTTACTTCCCCTTTGTTAGTATCCAGAACCCAGACATTGTAGAAGGTAAGATGAGAGTCCACATTTAATCCATCATTCCTCTTATTTTGTATCTAAGTTCAGCATTCATTCTCCTTAGCCTCTAACTTGCACAGCCCCACAATTGCCCAATGGATTGAGCCACCCAGTAAGCGTTTGGTGACCTTTCCTCACTTGTGTTGACAGTCATTTATTTCTTCCAGATTTATAAAACATATCCAGTGAAATTCCTCCTGTACTCTCAAGTTATAAATCCCCACAGGAACACAGCTGGCAACGGCTCACAACCACACTGACTTCAGCCCACTCAACCTGAAACAAAAAACCCAAGGTAGTAGATCTTGCAATTAGTGGAAAAGCCTCACAGATCCAGACTGCTACAGGAAACAACCCAGCCTCTGCAGCCACCAGAGCTCACTGCCAATGGATAGCCCTTATGTTTCTTCCCCTTGCTTATCTCAAGAGATCAAGACTGAAATCGTTTGAAGATCAAAACCAGCACCTCAGCTTCCCCTATAGGAAGCTACAGTACGCAAGCATGGCACATTAAAAGCTAAGATGAAGCGTTCCCACTCATATCCTGTATGCACTGTAGCATCATGCATTAATTTCAACTTCTAATGGTGTGCTCAGATGTCCCCAAAGCCTCCCAACTGTTAGAACAATACAGCCCTGAGGAGGTAAGACCTTCATACAGCATCATGCATTAGGCTACAGATCTCTGCTGTCTGTAAACCATTTTTCTTGATGTTATGGCAGCTGAAACAAGGGGCAAAGTGATCAGAAGCCTTCAAGTATAAGGAACTCTTTATTCACATTAGTGAGAGACAACCTTAAGATGCTACGAAATGGCAAACACTGCCCTCGATGATGTAGCATGAAGAGTGTCCAGCAGACTGGGGGATACATATAAAAACACATGGTGCATGCAACCCCAAGGTAAGAAAGATGAGGATTGTGCTTTGGAAGCCACATGGCTGCTGCCACACCTGTGAGCAGAAGGACATGGCCAGAAGCCAGTGCCTGAGAAAACAGGGTGACAGGAACCTTGAAGAAAGAAATGACAAACCCTCTAATAACATACAGAGAAGTTTCGTTTCAGCTACAACCAGTCGCTATCAGAATTCTCACAATCAATAAATACAATAACATCTTGCTAACAGAAGAGCTATCATTTGGCTTTTTGATTCCAAATCCAATTTAAGACAAATCCTGATAGTAGAATGGGGAAGGAAAGTATGAACACAGCGAGAAAAAGGACGGGGCTTTACCAGTATGCATATTTAACCGAGAGAGGAACAAGAGGAGGAAGAGCCCTCTCCTGTTCAAGAGTTTCTGCAGCCACACAGCCCTGAAGGCCCTGGGCTGAGTGCCAGGCACGTCTGCCCCACTTATCAGCACGAATGCCAGACAGACGTGGAACGGAACTTCTCCATTTTAATTGTTAATATATCAAAGAGCTTTTTTTTTTTTTTTAAATGTTGGGAAAGAAGCCAGACAGTTGAAATCTTAAACTAAAACAAGTTTAAAAGCTTTTCTTAAACAGCAATGCTTTGGAGGAACAAGGCAGAAACAGGGTTACGAAATAAGGTCACCAGTAGCTGTCAAGAAGATTTTAAGATGGCTCCCAACGCAGGAACTTCCCAGCAAGGCAAACTCCTGCAAAAGGCAGTTCAAAAGAGTTCATCCAAGGATGACCCATTTTCTAATCACAGCAACAACTGAACACAGAAGTGTAAAAGGAAAATAAATAAAGGCTCCGGCCCACGTGCAAGAGACTGGAAGCCAAGAAAGAGCAGCTAGAGCTGCTAGAAACAGAAAGGCAATTTATGCAAAGTGATGTCTGTGTGTGGCTGTCGTTGAAGGAACAACAACAACAAAAAAAAAAGCAACACAACAACAGTAAACCCAAGTGCTCCAGGGAACATGAATGAGACCATGAGACCAGGCAAGCACTGATTGCAAGTAGTGATTCAGTGTCTGCTCCATCCAACCTACAGGCCTGGTGCAAGCAGTGATATTTTTGTTCGCTTGGGCTATCCAGATAGCAAAGAGGCTTTCAACTCTCAGTTTTAATCAGACATCCAGTTTGTGTGGCATAATTTCTAAAGCACAACTACTGTGCTCTGAATTTAATAGTAGCATAATTTGTATTTGCTCTTCGTATAACATTTGAAGCTACCAATGGTTTCCAGTATGCTAACGCTCACCACAACAGAGAGTACATAAGATAAACGCTGAAAGAAAAGAGGGTTGCCATAGTTTCAGTTATTTTCCAAAACAAAGCACTCTCACTAAGTAGATTTCAATATATTAAAAACAAAGAGCCCTAATCTCTTAAAAGCAGGTTGCACAGACGCAAAATTAAGGCTGCGGGATTAGGGAGGAGTTCAATATTTTAAGACAAAGCAAGTTCAAAATTAACGAACACTAAACATGTCCTCTTCATATCTACAAACATAACAACTATTCCACCATTCATTTTCCTCCTAAAAAAAAAGCTGACTTTGTGCTAAGCCGGCACTAAATTTTATTTACTGCCAGAAGCTGTAATTGTACTGTCATTGCTGAAGAACTATCTGATCTTTACTCCTGGACTAACAGGATTTTCTGACCTCTTATGTCAGCTTATTTAAAGAGTTCAAGCGCACGGGGTGATGGGATTTTCAAAGTGAAGGAGCAGATCCACCAGTAAGAGGGGAGCCCAGAGGAGATGCTTTACCTGGAATTGAGAGAAGACAAAGTGGTAACTGAAGAGGCCAGCAAGTTTAAGTTCTGGTGTTAAAAGGAAGGGAAGAAAGTAGTGGGAGAAAAAACAACCAAACCCCAAACAA